AGAGAGAGAGAGAGAGAGAGAGAGAGAGAGAGAGAGAGAGAGAGAGAGAGAGAGACAGAGAAAGACAGATATGGAGACAGAGAGAGAGAGAGACAGAGAAAGATATATTATACAGGTCTACATTTTCATTTTAAGTTTCGGTATACATAATGAATACACATATATCATACATAGTGACATAGAAAGGAAAGAGAGAGAGAGAGAGAGGGGGGGTGTGAGAGGGGGGGGAGTGAGAGAGAGACAAAGACGCAGAGAGAGGGAGTGCAATGGGTAAAGGACAGACCACAAAAAAGAGATGAAAAAAAGGAACTTATTCTTACCTTGAAAGGACTCATAGGCCGCCTTTTCCTTGTCTCGGGTCCGTAATAGCCGGGTGTAGTCTCCCACTTCATCACCATCGCGGAGCTGTCGTTTGCCTGTCTTGCCAGTCCGAAGTCTGCCAGGACAGCACGATCCTGGTCATCCAAGAGAATGTTTCTGGGCTTGACGTCTTGGTGGAAGATGTGGAGACCGTGGATGTACTGCAGAGCGCTGGCCACGTCGAGAATGTGTCGGAGGATCCGTGGTTCTTCCACAGGGGGGTCGGACGACATGGTGTCGAAAAGTGTGCCGTTCTTGAAGTATGTCGACAACATGAAGCCGTAGTGATCATCCATAGCAAACGCTATCATCTTGAGGATGCGGGGGTGGCGCAGATCACGCAGGAAGCCGACTTCATAGAGAAAGTCGCTTTCACACTCCTCCGACTCAAAAAAAGATACGATTTTCACCGCCACCTTCAACGACGAGTTGTGTTTGGCCGAGGCCAGAACAACCTCTCCTAAGGAACCCCTCCCTAGACAGGGGCCTCTCACCAGGTTGAAGGAGTTGAAAAAAGCGTCGTGCTGTTCAACGGCATCCATGCTGCGGCGTGCAACTTCGGTAATAGACTCCAAAAGAAGGACCACAAAAGATGTATGAAACGATGAGTCTCCACGATGCGTATCCTCGGAACGTTCAGAGAAAAGTGACCACATACTGTCCAGTGTCCCTTATATACTCAGCTTGCTGGCCGGGAAGTGATTGAAGTTTTCTGTCCCTGATTAAGGAATTGTTGCTGTGTTTTGACACGTTCTTAGAGGACCGGAGGTGAGAACCGGAGTCTTGGCCTGCCTTTGTCTATTGTTTTAAAAGATATATAGAAGCAGGTCTTTATGCAAAGCAAATGTCATTGGAGTTCAGTTTCCACACCTAACGTTAACGAGTCTATTGTCCTATTGTCTGGTGACTGCCAGTGAGCTCGTGCCATCTGGTGAAAAGCTCAGACAAGGGGAGCAAACTGTGTATGCGGTAACCATGGCGGCTTGCTTCAAAGACATGCCAACAGCTCGGCCTCTATTATGTACCGGGCTGACTGGCCGGGAAGTGATTCAAGTTTTCAGTCTGTGGTTACGGCATTGTTGAGTTGTTTTGATAATGTCTCAGAGGATCGGGAGGGGAAAACCTGGGTCTTTGCCTGCTTTTATTTATTGTTTGTTTGTTCTTTGTATTTAGAGACCCCTGGGGCCTTCTAGATTGAAAGGAATCTTTTCTTTTAAAATTATTTTGAAATATGTGTTGTTTGTCGGTGAATGAATGACAACCAATCAGGGGTTTCAAATTAAAAAAATTTCGGAAGTTCTTTTTGTCTATAAACGCGGAGGCCCTGCCTCTTAAATAACCTACTAGTATTGACAGTGGCGTTAAACCTATACTGTTTAACCATTTTCTTTTTTAATCTTGACCTAGCCCGGTTTGATCTGAAAGGAAAGATGAAAACTAGCCTCCCAAATGATCTATACAGCGTCGATAATTGTGTAAAAACGCCTTTATACAACCCATCCCCTCCCCCCTCCAAAAAAGGCCTCCCAAATGATCTGTATTGTGTTAATGGCGGGTGTAAAAGTAAAAAATCTTCATTTTTTTAAATGGGCGCCTTTTCATTTTAGTTGGTCTACTGCAACACGGAGTAACTAACGATAAGCCATCTTCTGATGTAAGATCAAAGTACTATAGGTAGCTACTCCGTGGTGCTCCGGTCCACCGATCCATTGACTGCAGGCTAAGGCCCGGGGTCTATAGCAGGGGATAGATACCCGAAACCTCACACGTTCTGCTTACAAATGATCTGTTTACTTCTAGAACATCTCTTTTAAGGACCAATATCTCTGTATCTCTCTCCTCTCTCTCTTTTTTTCTATCTCTCTCTGTATCTCTCTCTCTCTCTCTCTCTCTCTCTCTCTCTCTCTCTCTCTCTCTCTCTCTCTCTGTATACATATACATTATTAAAATATACACTCGTATATATATGTATCTTTTATTAACCAGATCACCAGCGTCTGTTGTGTAGCGGCTAGGCACTTCGCTGTCGCACACAAGAGACTCAAGTTTGATTCCCGTGTGTGGAATTATTTTTTTTTTGCCAAATTATATCTAGGTCTTTCTGATGGGATACTGTATACCTCTCAGCCCGGCTTGGCTCTGATAGGCAGGGTCGAAGCCCGCCTCCCAAATTATCTATGTCGTGTCCATGGGGGGCGTTAAGGCACCTACATTGTAAAAAAAGAAAAAGATCTTTAATAAAACACTATCTTAAACACTAACTGTCCCACGTTGATACGATTGGTCTTCCTCTCCTCTTCCATTCTAAGCTCTCGTCATCACTGGTTTTATTTTGTATTTTGTATTTTATTCATTGTTTGGGGGGTAAGTGTTTTAATAATAATAATAATAATAATAATAATAATAATAATAATAATAATAATAATAATAATAATAATAATAGATAGCATTTGTATAGCTCAAATCCCCGCTCGTCAGCAAGCTCTATGCGCTTCACAATCTATACTATTACCCCAGCAGACCTGAGAGTATTCTGCAACAAACTCAACTTCCTGGGAAATATACAGTGCAAGCAGCCATTTATAAGCGCTAAAGCACTAACATACTGACAAGATCTTTCGCTGTCTATGGCCGGGTACCCATTTCCACCTGGGTGAAGTGAAGAAAATTCGTATAAAGTGCCTTTCCCAAGTACACAACGTCGGGCCCGCGGCTCGAACCCCCGACCCCGCAACCTCACGATTACGAGTCCAGTAGCATGACCACTAGGCCATCGAGGCCTAATTGAGGACGCGCTGTTTTGGGGTACTTTATAAAAAGAATAGGTGCTTTACCTCGTTATTAATGCCATTTTTCCCCCTTCAGTTCTGTTTTCAATATCTAAAACATAGAAAGGCAGGCAACAAAATTATGTATACAACAAAATATGCAAATTTGTGTAACTCATTTGTTTATGAAGGTTCGAAATATGCCGTAGCATTGTCTTTAGTCTGCTGTTGGTCGGACACATGTGTGTCCGTTACGTCTTTAAAGAGTTAAGGCGCTCGCAACTACGTAAGGTCATTTGAGCGCGCGAGACACATTAAACATTTTCAGTTGGTAGGAAATTTTGAATTTTGCCCAGGTGGCGTCTGAAGCGTACTCTTATCGATTTTGGACCTCCAAGGGGTCTTTAACGAGCGCTACTTGTACTCGAGACCTCCGAGATTTTTCACCTTTGTCCGAGAGGGCTAGGTGTAGATTTTTCCTACTATAAGATCAGGAGTGTGGCTGAAAGACAGCAGTAAGAAACAGCCAAGGAGTAGCAGTAGAAAGGCAACAGCAAGAATCAGGAGCCCAGAGGAAGGGGGAATGAGGCTGAGGGGTGGGAGCAGAAAGTAGAGACAAAGCAGACGACAGAACATTGTTATAGAGCAGGAAAGTATGTGAAAGGAGAAGATTTTAGAGAAGAAACTTTTCAGTCGCTATCCGGATTCGAACCTGGGACCTATTGAATGAGAGGCAAGCACCTTAACCTCTAGGCCACGAGATCCCCCTGTTTTACTTTGATAATGAAATGTCTCTGCACTTGCAATTTTTGTATGGGTGTTATCACAAAATGCGCCCAGCCCAGCCGTGGTGGAATCAGGCACTCATCAGGGTTTGGGTATAAAGAGTTAGAGGGCGCTACAGGAATGTCCTACTTCTTCACTTTCCCTCTGTTGTTTCTGTCTGTCTGTCTTACTTTTTCCCAGCACTAAATGACCAGTATTGTGTCGATGTGCTTCTCTTTACTCAAAACACAAAAACAAACAAAAAAGCCATTGGTACGGTCTTAAAACTTGTTCATTCGCTAAGCTTTGGATGAAAGAAATACTCATCTATCTTGACTAGAAGTTAAGATATTGTCTATTGAAGGAGGTGGGGGTTGTTTAGTGTAAGAGGAAAAACTGTTGAGAAAATGGCCGTCAAAGTTTGGTGACTTCCCAAGCCTGAGAGTCCTTGGAAGCTGCCAATCTACATTTTGTGTGCCTTTGATAAACGTTTTTCAATAAAATATATACTGAAACGTGTTTTACGTATATGGTCATAAAATTTGCTGAGCCAAAAATTAAATCGACGATACAAATCATCAAACAGGCTGAAAAATGTCCTTTTCTTAACGTGCGCATGATTTCACCACGATGCCTCACAAATATGTGAGGATATGTT